TATATGTGTTCATTGGATTTACCTTAAAGGACTTTCCCTTCATACTGGTTTTTCAACTATTTGAATGTATCAGCTTGTTTAATACAAAACAAATAACTTGTTATATGCACCTTTGTTAAAGGTTAGTTATATCAATCAATCATATTTCTATTTAAAATAGACAGAATGATCTGAACTGTCTGCAGTACTCTTTAGGGCCAAATTGCTTTGGCAATTACATTTCTTCATACTGCATAATGTCTGTTGGGCTTTAGATACTGTCAATTTTCAAAAACAAAAACAAAACCACAAAATTGTATATAGTTATTTAAGTCTTAATTTCCACCTTTTAGATTTCTAGTATACCTTGTGATACTCTATCAAATATTATAGCTTGTTCTGTTGTATAGAGATTATTAATTTACAGACTTACAACTGGACAAAAAATAAAGTACAAGAGAGCAATTTCACAATTTTGCAGGAGTTTGTGGCTATCTAGCTAATTAGCTGTTGAGGTTACTCAAATGGTTTTTCCTCTGTGTGAAACACAGAAATAGTATCTTCAGTTGGATATTATTTAAAGCTAAGGCCTAAATTGGACCAAGGATTCTGTCATATGAAGGGTTGTATATAACAACATTAGTAATAAGTTCTATATTTTGTGTTGTCACTAATAAAGATATTAGATTTCAGAAAGAAAAAAGAATAAACACACAAAGGAAGGAAGACAAAATAAGTTGAATACATTTATTAATAATAAATACAATCAACTTCTCTGTCTCAATTTCTTTTTATTTACATTTAAATACCAACATTTTATGGCACAAGATGATACATAAGAATTATTGTTACTGATGCACGTATTTGAATGACACACAAAATTCAACCATAATTCTTCTAAGATTGCCAGTCACTGTTTGGTCTACTGTATACACAAACAATTCTGATAAAGGGCTGGGAATTAGGTGACAGGCAATACATCACTTGATGGTTACCTGTTCCGTTCATTCTCTCTGGAACTCCTGATATTGGCCACTTTCAGAAGACAGACTGCTGAGCCAAATTGACCTTTGGTCTGAACCAGTATAGCCATTCTTATCCTACTTAGCTTGCGAACAGGAATAGCTAACGGAGTTTTGTGAGGTGGTGAAGGTGAAGGAGAAATGATTACAGGATGTTTGGGCTATGTCTACACTGTGCATTGTTGCACAAGATGATATGCAAATGAGGCGTGGCGATGAATATCACCATGCCTCATTTGCATATCTAATGAGCCGCCATTTTGCGGAAGTGGCTTTTGCGCAAGAAAGAGCTGTCTACACTGCTTCTTCTTGTGCAAAAAAACCCTATTGTGCAGGAGCCGTTCTTCCTGAAAATAAGTGGCAGAACAGCTCCTGTGCAAGAGGGTTTTTTTGTGCAAAAAGGAGCAGTGTAGACAGCTCCTTCTTGGGGAAAAGCCCCTTCCGCAAAAATGACGGTGCATTGAGTATGCAAATGCGATGAATATCACCATGCCTCATTTGCATATCTAATGAGCCGCCATTTTGCGGAAGTGGCTTTTGCGCAAGAAAGAGCTGTCTACACTGCTTCTTCTTGTGCAAAAAAACCCTATTGTGCAGGAGCCGTTCTTCCTGAAAATAAGTGGCAGAACAGCTCCTGTGCAAGAGGGTTTTTTTGTGCAAAAAGGAGCAGTGTAGACAGCTCCTTCTTGGGGAAAAGCCCCTTCCGCAAAAATGACGGTGCATTGAGTATGCAAATGCGATGAATATCACCATGCCTCATTTGCATATCTTCTTGTGCAACAATGCGCAGTGTAGACATAGCCTGGGGGTAAGTGGCTGTCTGTAGTGTGTGTGTTTGTGGGTTACTTGCTGGTTGTCTGAAAGATAGTGTGTGCTGAGCTTGTGTGTGTTTGTTTGTAGATCCATCTGCTGAGCTGTTTGTTTGAAGGACCACATGCTGAGGTCAGCAGCTGGAAGCTGTGAGCTTCTTAACAAGGATTTGAAATCTAGAACCTCTGTTCATTGGTCAAGCCTTAACTGCGGCGTGGGGCTATCAAGAAGGCCTGGGCTATATAAAGCTCACTAGTAAGCAACCAAGGAGCTAGTGACCAGGAGCAACTAAAATTTGGCTATGTCTACACTGCAGAGTTTTTGCATAAAAACAGCTTCACAGGTGATTAATCAGCCCTGCCCAGTAAGTCAGTTCCCTGCACTGAGTCCTGAGCCTCAGACTGGGAGGGGCTGATTGATTACCAGAGAAGCTGTGCTGCCATGCAGCTGATAGGGAACACTGGTGATCCTGGTAATTACAGACTGGTAAGTCTAATGTCAGTACCAGGCAAATTAGTTGAAACTAGAGTAAAGAATAAAATTGTCAGATACATAGAGGAACATAATTTGTTGGGGAAAAGTCAACATGGTTTCTGGAAAGGGAAATCATGCCTTACTAAGCTACTAGAGTTCCTTGAGGGGGTCAACAAACATGTGGACAAGGAGGATCCGGTGGATATAGTGTACTTAGATTTCCAGAAAGCCTTTGACAAGGTCCCTTACCAACTGCTTCTAATTAAAGTAAATTGCCCTGGGATAAGAGAGAAGATGCTTTTATGGATTGCTCTCTGGTTAAATGACAGGAAACAAAGGGTAGGAATAAATGGTAAGTTTTTAGAACAGAGAGAGGTAACTAGTGATGTTCCCTAAGGGTCTGGACTGGGACCAATCCTATTGAAACCTATTTATAAATAATCTAGAGAATGGGGTAAGCAGTGAGATGGCAAAATTTACAGATGATACTAAACTGCTTAAGATAGTTAAAGACCAAAGCAGACCGTGAAAAGCTCCAAAAAGACCTCACCAAAGTAAGTGATTGGGCAACAAAATGGCAATTGAAATTTCATGTTGATAAATGTAAAGTAATGCACATTGGAAAAAATAATCCCAGCTATCAATACAAAATGATGGGGATTAATTTAGCTATAACTCCTTGAGAGAGAGAGAGATCTTGGAGTCATTGTGGATAGCTCTCTGAAAACATCCACTCAGTGTGCAGCAGCAATCAAAAAAGCAAACAATGTTAGGAATCATTAAAAAAGGATAGAGAATAAGACAGAGAAAGTCTTCCTTACTGCCTCTATTTAAAACTATGGTACGCCCACATCTTGAATACTGTGCACAGATGTGGTCGCCTCATCTCAAAAAAGATATATTGGCATCGGAAAAGGTTCAGAAAAGGGCATAAAAATGATGAGGGGTTTGGAACAGGTCCCATATGAAGAGAGATTTAAAATGACTGGGAGGTTTCATCTTAGAAAAGAGGAGATTTAGGTGGGATAAGATAGAGGCTTATAAAATCATGAGTGATGTTGAAAAAGTGAATAAGGAAAAGTTATTCACTTGTTCCTAAAACATCAGAACTAGGGGTCACCAAATGAAATTAATAGGTAGCAGGTTTAAAATAAATCAAAGGAAATTTTCCTTCACGCTGCGCACAGTCAACCCATAGAACTCCTTGCTAGAGGATGTTGTGAAGACCAGGACATTAAACAGGGTTCAAAAAAGTACTAGATATATTCATGGAGGTTAGGTCCATCAATCGCTATTAGCCAGGTTGGGTAGGAATGGCGTCCTTAGCCTCTGTTTGTCAGGCGGGAAATGGATGACAAGAGTGGGATTATTTACTAATTCTCTGTTCTGTTCACTTCCTCTGTGGGATCTGGCATTGGCCACTGTGAAAGACAGGATACTGGAATAGATGGACCTTTGGTCTGACATAGTATGGCTCTTCTTATTTTCCTTAGGTGGCTGATGATTGCATCTGATGTATTACTCAGAGGTATCAACAGGCCGGCTTCTGAGGAGTTACATCAGCAGGACAGACCTAGTGAATCACTTTTATGTGTAATGAAGTGGGGCAAATTCTGTGCTCCAGTCTAGCAGAGCTCGTCAACATTGTGTTTAGTTTAACTCACCTATGTTGCTGTCTGTTCTGGAGATGACTGGTTCCTGATATACAGGTTACTCTACATGATGCCCAGATGCGTTCCCTGGACATGGTGGAGTTTTTCCTCTGGTATTCCGGAAAACCCCCGTAGTCTAGATATAGTCTCAAGATGGAGAAGCAGTTGCCTTTCATGAATCTTTAGAATTTGCACCACTGTAGGGAGGCCCTTCATCTCAATAAATGATTTGGTTTTTTCCATAAGGAGTTTGAACTATAACATATTTAAGGTTGTTTTTGGAAGGCATGGGTAGGGGAGCCTAGGAAGAATGAGTCTGAAGAGTGCAGCATGCTACACCCTGGTTCAAGAAGGGGAGCCCACTGAGAGCATAAAACCCGCAGCTAGGGCAGAGGAAGAAGAATTAGAGTTCATGAAGTGCCAGGCTGCAATGTAGGAGCCCAAGAAAAATATCAACATGTTCTGGTGAAAGCAGAGAAACCAAGAAATGACTGGCATACTGAACACAGGTCTGGGTCAAAGTAAAGTCCTAGATGGAGTACCTGCAGCCTTACCCTAAGTCATAGGAGTCTGGGCAGCAAGTGTGCAGTGCCAGACTGTGGTCAGGGGACGTGTGTGCAGTACAGACACATACCAACAAAGTGATGTGGAGCTCTGGAATACCATGCTGACCTGCAGTGGGGAGCCAGGTATCAGCCTGTAGCACTGGTGTGCAGTGAGAAAGCTGAGCCAGAGAGGGATGAAGTGCGTGTGGACACTGCTCAAGGCAGGCAAGGGGGCAGGGCACCAGCTGAAGAGTCTGGCAAGGCTCAGCGGCCCTTAACCAAGGCTGATAAAGAGCATAGGAGAAAATATCCTCCCAGTAGCAACTCTGGAAAATGTGTGGCCCCAGGACAAGCCCGAGGACCCAGGACGAGTGGTGGGAGTGGTTCAGGTCCAGGGACTCCACAGCCGGTGCAGCTCAGCTCGAGATAGCGAGAGCATCATCCAGGAGCGGAGTGGCTTGGACTCCGCCTAACTGACACCCAACTTCCCCCTCCCTCCTCAAAGCCAGCAGCAGCAGCCCTGTGCGTACCGCCTGCCTGTGCACACAGCCTGCTAGCTGCAATCCCGAGCCCCTCTCCCACCCAGGGAGGATGGGCTGCAAGAGGCAGCAGGAGGGCAGCCCCAACCCTGCCTAGAGCTGGGCAAACAAAGGGAGCAGCAGCAGCCGGGCTGGGGTGGATGCAAGCAACCATGAAAGGCTGGATCTCCGCCTCCGCCGCCGCCGCCGCCGGAGAGCTGCTGGCTGCTGCCGCCGAGGAGCAGAGGGCTCCGCTGTGAAGGGAGGAGGCGGGATTGGTTTTGCCTCGCCAAGGTAGAAGGGGCAGGGGCCAAGGCGGCAATAAACATGTCTTCTTCGGCGGGGCCCCGCGGCCCTCGCCCCCCCACGGTGCCTCCCCCGATGCAGGAGCTGCCCGACCTGAGCCACCTGACCGAGGAGGAGCGGAACATCATTCTGGCCGTGATGGACCGGCAGAAAGAGGAGGAAGAGAAGGAAGAGGCCATGCTCAAGTAAGCGGCCGCCCGCCCAGGTGCCGGGGCTCCCCCTGCTCCGGCCCCTGCCCCGGGTCGTGCCCTGCACAGCCCCCACCTCGCGGCCCTGAACTTCCTCCTCTTCCGCCCCACCCATGGGGACCGCCTCCCGGCCCTGCGGGAGCCTCCTACCTGGGGAGACCCACGGGCAGCGGGGGAAGCGCCGAGAGGGGGGCCTCGCCCCACAGCCCCGCCGGGAGAAGCAAAGGGCCCCCCCGGGCTGCTCCCCTGCGGGGCGCGCTGGAAGAGGGGAGACCTTGCCTTATGGGGGGAACCCCCACATTTGGGGAAGGGATTCCTCTGGGGGCTTTAAAACCCCGCCCGTTACGGGAGGGTAATGGGTGGGGTTTCCCTAGGACTGAGCCTTCAAAAAACACCATGCTGCCCCCACCTGGCTCCGTGTGAACGGAATCCTGCCATTGGGGAGCGCAGCAGCAACCTGCCTCTCCCTCCGCTACTTGCACCCCCTGCGGGGAGGGTTTCTCCAGCGGGGCTAATCTTCCTTTTCGGACCCCTTCTTCTGCCTGGCTGCTGCTGTACACTGGGCAAGGATGGGGTTGGGAAGCATCTGGTTGTCTTGATGTGGGAAAGCACTGTGTGTTCATAATTAGGTACCCAGCTCCTTAAGGAGGGCGAGGTTTATACCTGTGTTGGTGGGCTAGAGAGGGAATTGTGGATTTATTACACTGTTGATTACACAGAGAAAGATGTAGGAGGCTCAGAGTGTCGATGGATGCCATATTTGGAAACTAGTCTCTCCTGCCTCTGTTGCACCTTTTATCTCCCCCACCCTTCTTCCTTGCAAAACAACACCTATGTGACCTCATTTTCTATCCTCCTCCATTAGCAGCAGGCTTCAAATGTAATGTTACTAAATTGCCTCCTGTGAGTGATGAGACTAAACAGATTGAGTCTGTGGCCTGAGGAAGACAGCCACCCTCCAGGCCTATTCACTTTTGGTTGGAAATGGCAGAATAGGTAACTGATTACAGACAAAGCTCTTCATGTGATCCAGAACCTTTCTATCCTGTAAGGTGTGTCCTCGCCTTGCTGTTTCCCGTTCCCTGCTGTGTGTTTGGAGGATAGGGCTGGTGGCTTGCACAAAAGGTGTGACATGTTGTGTGCAGGGTTTTTCTTTTGACTGTATCAGAAATAATCAGTTTTAAGGCGTGTGTTCTAGTTTTTATGCTTTCCCTTGTAAGCCAACAATGTAATCTATAATGGATAGAAATATTGAATCTTTGTAGTCTCTTAACCTCTGTGCCATATATTGCAAACAATTTGAAGCTGATGGCAATGCTTGATTGTGCTGTTGTTTCTGTCCTTTAAAATCAGGGCTGGGATTTGCATTTTTGCAGTGGCTGCTGCTGCTGGTATTAACTGCAGAAATGTACACTGAGGCACATGAGCTAGTGATGCTTATCGCCTGGGACCTGGACTAAGAATGGGGGTGTGGCACCGAGAGCTGAAATGGGGATGAAGAGTTCAGTTCACTGCTGCTATGGTTGTGTGTGGCGGGGTGTGGTCGAGACTTTATTGGGGTTGGAATACGAGCAGATTTGTGAAACTGCACTCTATTAGCCAACGTAGGGATAAGCATTTAGGGTCACTTTCGGTGTCTATCCTTCATAAGAGAATTGAAAAGAAAATGCTTGCAAAATGCTATAAACTACGTTACTACTCCTCTCCAGTCTCTGTCCTCTACTTCTCTGCCCACCACTACTTCCATATAAATGTTTAGGTGTTATTCTGTGGAATATAGCATTTTTAGTCCCATGTCCATTGCTAGAGCAAACTTTTTGTTAGGACATTTTTTTTCCAGTGCTATAATTGCTAAAGGCAAGGTAAGGGATTTCTTCACTGCTTTCATATTAGCATCTGGGAAGTCTGGAACAATGTTTAAAATGTTTCCCACAAGGGTGCTGAAAATCTTCAAAGCTTTTGCTAAAAGACTTGGGGCAAACTTAATTTTTTTGTGCAGGTCAGAAATTGCCCTTTGTGGATTCTGCTTAAAAATTGGGTCTCTCTAAATTGCTTTAGACATATACTGAAAGGGTTTTTTACGCCAAAAAGAATTTCTTGTTATTTGGTCCGGTAACATTTTTTTTCAAAGATGTCTGAATAATAGGTAAGACTTTGCATCAGGCTGAGAAAAATGTGATTTTTAGATAGCTGGAAATTCAGCCTAGTCATAGTATGAGGGTGAAAGCTTATAAACTATTTAGCAAAGTTTATGGGAATTAGGTCAGAGTCAGTAGTTTTTATCTAGTTATGATTTTGTATGTTGTACAGAACCATTATATCTTCTAGAATCATTGTAATTTTCTCTTATCTAGCCAACACTACACTTTTTTTTCTGGGACACAAATTATACATCTTATTCCTTATAGATAGGAATAGGATACCATTCTGAACAAGAATTTCCTGCCCTAATTCTGAAGAGAGGTGTATGCGTTTTACACACATGATGGTGTACACACATCTCGGTAATAAATCACATAGCCATATTATCACATGTGGTGGTGATAACCTTGTGATGAATTGCTTTTGTCATGTACCTTTGACTGCCTCACCTGTTCTCTGCCTCTTAATCCATCTCCCTCCAGGATTATTCTAACATTCCAAATGTCTGAGCAGCTTCAAACAGCTATTGGTTTTCTTTTTAAAATAATCTGATAAGGAAATGTTTCCTTCCGCAGCACCCACATCCCAAATATGGAACATCCTCTCAAAGTAATGCTGGCCTGAGATGCCAAATGGACAATATTCATTCCTGGACCAGTGACAGGTTTTCTGCCCAATATCTCAGTATGGAAGATGGATGCACAAAGGAACAGAATTAAGGTTGCTCAGGCAAACATAAATCTGGCCACTTCCTAATTTTTGAGTGTTTGATTCTGCAAAGTAAATAATATTTTAAATATAGTTTTATTGTATGCAGTACACGTGCAAGCTTTATGAGAAATGGGACTCTGAGATGAACACACTAAAACTGTGTAAAGTCTAAAATGCAAGATTGGATTGCACTGCTGGATCCAATCTGAAATTTTGAAAGCTATGTCTTTGAACCCACCTTTACCCATGCTTTTGACACCGGGTAAAATAACTCCCACTCTAATTATATTATGCAGAAAATCTGACTAGATGATCACAACAATCCTTTCTGGCCTTAAAATCTATCAGTCTGTAAGGTAATGGGTATCATTGGTGGCTAGTAGGAGGGATAGTGTAAAGGAGGAGGGGGAAGTGTAGAGTTCTTATATAGGAACTCCCCAGAGCAAAAGGGTGTTATAAATCTAGATTTTGATGAAAATTCTGCAGAAGAGACCACCTTTTTAATATGCTTTCCTTCTAATATTTCATTGGTTAGGAATCTGGAAAAAGCCAATCTTCCAAGAATTTAAAAAATATTTGTTTCCCTTTCAAATTTTATTCCAAGTTTTATTTTGTAGGCTGTACCTAAGCTTTCTTTTTTGCTTCCTTTAACTCTGGAATAAAACTATCAAAAGTATTGTATTGCTGCCTCCATCAGATGATTAGTGAGTTAACATATTGCTGAGCATTTTAGCACTTTCATTTAATACTTATGTAAAGAAGTTGTTAAATATTTGAATAGTACTGGCCTTATATTGTGAAAACTATAGACCAAAATATCTGCTAGTGGAAGTGGGCACAGATCAGTTGACAACAATGCAATTTTGCTTATTTGCACCATGAATATTTTGGTCCAATATTTGTTTTCCCCTGTAACCACTTTTATGTGCAAATATATATAACTATTCACTGGCTCACATCTAAAACTACTGTAAGGGCCAAATTCCGAACTCTTCTAAAGTGGTCAGATCCATAGTAACTTCACAGAAGCAAAATAAGTGCTCTGGATTTTCATTGATGTAAAAATAGGCTCAACATTCTTCAGTACATTGGTCTATTTGTATTCTAAAGTAGTATAATTTGGTGGACTGGGAAAATAGGAAAATTTTCTAAGGCACTCAGCTGGCATTTTACCTTTGAGTTTAATGGGAGCAGAGTTAGGCCAATACTTGAATGCTTCTGAAAATCCAACCTATAATATTTTTTTGGAAAAATGACCTTATAATACTTGTATCTGCAGGGCAACTTTAGTCTGCAATGGCTGTACTGGGGAAAACATTTCATAAGGTCCCATCCGATTAGATACAAAGATCAAAAAGACTTGATTCTGCTCTTTTTGGATATACTTGTGCATAAAACCTCAAATTACTGACAGACATTTTCACATGATCACAACTAGGGAATTTATACTAGATTCTTCAGTGAGAGCCAACTGAAAGATCTGAGGAATACATGGATAGCTTTTTAAATCTGCGCTTCTGCCAACTGGGGCCAGTATTTAATCCTTACATTATCCTGTGTATATTTGGGAAATACTTTTCCTTAGACTATGCCTAGTTTTGAAATGTAGGCATTGAATGGGGTTCTTAGCCATTTCTTCATCTATCATAACAGATTATAGAGAATGGATTGCATTATAGGAACATAAGAATGGCTATATTGGAAGATCCATCTAGCTTAGTATCCTGTCTTTCAACAGTGGCAAATGCCAGGTGCTCCTAGGGAATGAGCAGATAAAGTGATTCATCCCCTATCACTCATTCCCAACTTCTGACAAACAGGGACACCATCCCTGCTCATCCTGGCTAGTAGCCATTGGTGTGTATTTTTGTTTGTAGAAATGCTTGCTCCTAAATAGGACAGTTTGTTCAAGGATTGGCTAGTATGTGGGACTGTGGTTTTTATTCTTTCTATATATAACTTAAATATCACCTTCAAAATATGATTGTATATGAAATGCTGATATCCATAGAGAGAGTTTGAACATGAAAACCATGATCTGAATATATTTGATAGCACTATAGTGATGAGCAAAGCTTGTTGTGATTTTTCAGTTATTACATACAAAACCATTCATACACTCACAACTTTGAAGATGTGAAGGG